TTTTAGTCTCATAGTTTGATCACACATAGAGCATACTGAACTCTGATCATAAGAATTAATCAAAACTTGATCCGAAGAGCTAGAAGATCAGTATAGATTTTTTCTTTAGACGAGCATATCTCAAAATAAAAAGCAAATCTCATAACGTTAGATGTCTTATTCGACAACTCAATGTTGCCTCTATCATCAATAAAACTTTCATGTCAAACAGTATTAGCTTATCTGATTTATGAAGTAATCTTTGAGTAATCTCAACATGAGAGTTGATGAAATTTGTCAAAAACTACGATATATCTCTGGTTAATTTTAACTGCATCTCTTACAATGTTCTCCGATGAATGTCAGACTCTAATCAAGTTTTCAATGAAAATTTCACGATCGATATCATTAATGGACAAGAGATCTATACTGAGATTATTCCAGAGTAGGAAGGCTTTCTTGCGCCTCAGGATGGCAGCGAATTGGAGTGTTCTGTATGTGACACAATATAGACATGTGAATCTTTATTAGTTCATAAGAAAATGGAGGTTGAAGAAGCATTTGAATAGTAGAAAAACATTGTTTTCATGGTGAATCCTTTATATTAAGCTCTATCGAAGTCGGATTGGTGCTTGCAATCAAAATTTTCCGAGCTCTGTTCTAGTGAAAATATCAGTCAAAAAGATTCAAGTTGATGTACTTTTTATCCAGTAGCGGAACTTATTTCGATTATTGTATATATATTTAATATTAACGTGAATCTCTCTTATACAATTCAATCAATTGATTTGATTGTTTTTTAAATAATATGTAAGTATGTTCTTTAAATTTTTGTTGTGTATATTTTCAGATACATGTTTATGCCTATAACCATTAGAATAACAATAGTCTTATAATTGATCAAATCTGAGTCACCTATGGATTTGAAACGACAACTGCGAATCAAATTCAACAAAAAAATAATCCAAATGGAGACTGCATCAGTTGTATAAGTGTTACAACGCTACTTAGATGCAATCTACACTTCCTGTATTTTTACTGTATTCAACTCGCAATTTTCCTTTTACAGCCATAGATGACTCATAATTGATCATTTATAAAACTATTCTTATGGTAATATTTTATAGATGCAGGCATTTATGTAAAAAACATACAAAACAAAACATTAAAGAACATGCTCACATATTATAAAAGAAAATCAATTGCATCGCTTGATTGGTATAAGAGATATTTAGGTTAACTTTTTGACTGACTTTTAGAGTACTTGTCTATTTTTTCAATTAAAATGTTTTTATTAATTCATACTTGAGTTACATCACGTAAAATTGTTATTTCAGGTATTGAAAAAATGTCAACAAATTGATACATATTTGATGTCATGCCAAGATAACCAACTTCATCAACAGATAATTTTGTACCACCATGTGCAGCAATAACTTCTTCATTTGATACTTTTCGCATACCACTTAAAACAAAGAAAAATTTTTATTTAAATCATTGAATTATATTTACTGATAAACAGTGTCTAATTGAATATTATGATAACTATCAATTTTCATTAACCATCCACGTTTGATATCTAAATGAAGACCACGTGCACCCATTCCTTGTCGATACGAAAAATTCATTAAGTGATTTGGATACTTAATTTGAGAAGCAAAAATAAATGAAAACATTTATCTAATATTTTAAAATAAAGAATTTTACTCGTAAAGTATTAACGAGATATTTTTTTGCATGATCATAAATTAATGAATGTAATGTTGATTTATATCTTGCTAATGTATAATCTATTTAGAAAAAATAATCAGTTTTTTTGTTTAATTTCTAATCATTCAATATTTAATTACAGACCAAAATCAAAACCATAAACTTTTATTTTTCGTAAATCTAATTCATTATTAGCAAATATTCCAGTTGGTCGCATGGTTTGTGAAAAAGACGTTGTTGAAGCTAAAATATTGAATAATTTAAAAAGACAAAAATTGTAATTCATAAACTCAAGTTTTACATAAAGATTCTTCTTTAAGTAATTCATAGATTTGCTGTAAATCTTCTAATTGATGCGATGATGTAAATAAACGTCGAGGTTGATGGAATATTAAAGTAAATAATTGAAAATATTGTTTATGACTGCACAGCATTATATTGATTATTGACTTAGATACGACGATATATTAATGAGACTCCTTAATTAAGTAAGACCTCAGCGTGGTTTCACTTAAAAATACGACATAAATGGTTTAGTGAAAGCAACCAGTTCACATCTAGATCTATAGAGGTCTATAGAAGTCGACCGTCATTTTTTTTCACTATTTCTATTCACATTGAGAATAATTAGCTATAGTTGAATGTATTGGAGAAGGAAGGAGACAATTATCCTACTATGTTTACTGTCAATACTTGTTCAATAAGAGAAATTCTATCATTATAACACTCAAATAATATTATACATTCTCTTTTCATGCAAACATATGTAAGATTTAAACCATAAATAATTTTAAAATCATGTTTATTAAACATTACGGAACTAACTTATTTGTTCAGTTGAACGTTTTTTCATGATTGTCTATGTTGATTAGCAATCAATAATTATATTCCTAAAAGAAAAATATTTTGTAGAATATTAAAAATGGCAAAAGAAAAGGATTTGATTTTGATACTTTATAATTTTCATATTTAATTCTTGTAAACTATGTTAGATTTTTTTGAATATTATTAAAATGAAATAAAATAAAATATGAAATGCAAATATCGTTTATAAAACTGAAACTTATCGAGTCAACATTTGTTTTTATCGATGATGAAAATATTAATCAGTCTTTGAAAAGAAAAACAATATCTAGATATGATTTGACAATCAATATAGATTATAGTGTTACTTATATGTATACAACGTACATGCTCAACTAAGAAAATAGTGACGAGTAGTTCTCACGTCTACAACAAAGAAATATTCACCAGTCGAGGAAGAATTGTTGATCACAGATGAAAATTCAAGAACGAATCGATCTGATCGTATTATTGAAATAAATCAAATGAGAGCAAAATCGAAGAGTGAATTTCTTTTAATTGATCTAGCAAAGTTAAAAGTCATTTCGTTGGTCAAAAGAGATCATCATTGATTTTCATTGTTCGTTCGGACTCTGCACGTTCTATAGCGATGAACAATGATAGAATGTGTTGGAATCTAATCTTGATCGTATTGGTTGTTTGACAACATTGAAGGACATCATTATTCTATTAAGCCTTGGTATCAGTGTGAGGAAACCCAAAGATTTCGGAGTCTTGACAAAGTTCATAAGCACCATTGTTTGGATCTGTTTCTGTACACTATGACAATCAAATATTATTGTTGACGCACATAGTCACCAACAAACTCATCTAGTGAATTGAACTCGTCAAAGTAATAGATTTTCATTTCGTCATCTCTCTAACTCTTTTGTAGCACAATATTGGGAGCGTATTGTTGTTATTACATCAAAAAAGACAATCAAAGATGTTGAAATCATGTCATTATTGTATTCTCTCGTTGTTATTTATTTTTTGCGTTCTGAACTAATTGGACAATGTTTTGTCAATGCAAGTCGATTATTGTCGACAATTAATCACTCCATGGACTCGAAACACTACTGAAACAACAGGAAATTCAATTCGAATTTTAAATGAATTCGATCCAAGTGAGATTTTGATACAAAATTCAGTGAACATTGATTCGAAGAAGTATTTACCCTGCTTCGACTGTAATACTCGGCTCTTGTCTTGCTGAGGTCTTCAGTGGCTATTTTTTCACGCTTAAAAGGATGCATTAAAGATGGTTCTATACTTTTTCAAATTTGCAAATCATTCTGAAGTATGACTGATGTGTATGACTAAGTGATTACATGACATCGATGATAGCATAGATTAGCTCATGTTATGATCGATATTTCCTCGACTTCATTGTTATTGATGATGTCAAAACTTGTGACTTCCGAATTACGACATCCTGTTTATTGATCATAATGGTAGGAATACTTTGTATATATGAGATAGCATCTTAGAAGAATAGTTTTGAGTCAAAAGTTCATTGTTTTCACGAACTTTTGGTTACGATAACTAAAGCCAAATTCAAGAGAGGGTGTGGGTGTGCAGACATAGGTCAATAACGGCACTCTTTTTCGACTAGATCAACAAAGTGAGAAATATGCTGGATGATGTATATATAAGGATTGTACCACACGGCATGAGATTCAACTGTTCACTGCATTTTTAGTAAAACGCACGTCAGAAATACATATAAATCAGATATAGTTTATTTAAAGTAACGTTCAGCCATATATTTAGCACTATAGTAGTGTATGCTTTTGTGCAGCTAGTTGTTAATGATGAAGTAAGACTGATTTGTTGTAGGTATGATCGTAGTCAACAAAATTGGACTTATTGTAACAGTAGTAATCGAGTGATTTTGATCGATTGACAGGTTTACAATTGACAAAAATTGTAATTCGGTAATAAAATATGTTTAGCACACTCTTTATTGTATCATTCTGTTGAACATCTTGAATATGCGTATTTCTACTAAATATACATTATTGAAAACTCGACTCAGCATATTTTTGTTTATTAACTGTTAAATCAATCGATTCGATATTGTTGACATTAGTGTTTTCTTATATCGTTAAAAATTATTGATTTGCCTCATTTAATTTAATCAGGCTCAGTCTTAATTCGCTATTAATGACATGTAAATTTGATACAACTTTTTTAAATCAATCTAGATTTAACGTTTTTTTTGATTATTCTTTCTTGAAAAACTGTTCATACTAGAACTCTAAGCATTTGTGTTGAAAATTTTCACGTATAAGGTCAAGATCAAATATCTTTTTTTTCTGTTTTACCTTTGAGTTGCACGTTTTGCTTATGTGATATGATGAAACACAATCTTTTTCTTATACTTTTTCTGATAAAATCAATATTATGGAATATTTCTGTCGTTCTTTTATTTTTCAAAACAACATAATAACAACAAACAATATTTTTTATTTTTTCACACTTTTTTTCTTGATTGTTTTGTTAGATGTTGGCTCATGTTTCTTCTCTGATACTTGAGACTTTTCTTCTTCTTGTTTTTTCTTGGTTAGTTTCAATGGAATAAAATCTGTTAATTCATATTTAATTCCAGCTGCTGCTAATTTTTCTTGTTGTTTTAATAATTTTTTGGCACGACGTTGATTACTTTTTTCAATTTGTTCTTTGGATTTAATCCGATTATAAAGTGCACGTTTTTGTTTTGGTGTTTTCACCGTAAATAATCGTTTCCAATTTTTAAATAATTTTTCTGTATCAATTTTATTTCTATCCATCAAACGACACTTAATTAATGAACGAAACATTAAATAACCATTCATTGTTTCTGATGCAATACGTGCAACATCTTCATCTTCAAATTCAACATAAGCATAACCACGACTACCACCTGTCTTTTTTGAACGTATTAATTTTAAACGTGTTACAACACCAAATTGAGAGAAATATGAATATAATTCACGTTCAAAAAAACCATATGGTAAACCAGATAAACGTATAAGACCAGGTTGAATTGTAACTAATTTATTTTTTTTCATATCAGATTTTTTTATTTTACGTTTTCCACTACCAGCTACAGTTGGTAATGAAAGTGTTTGTTCTTGTTCTTCTTCATCTTCTTGTTGATCATCGTCTGTACTGGAATCTTCAGCATCAATAAGACGATCATCATCATCATTATCAATCATATTGGCCATAGTAAAAATGGTTATCTAAAATAAAAAAAAAAATGAATATATTTTCTACTTTTGCTTATGAAAAATAAATATAAAGATATCGTAAAATGATAAAATGAACGTATAAATACAAGCCTTATGCACGATTAAAACTATTCAGAATAAATAAAAATCGATTTGAAATTAATCAAGAATAACATTAATTATTAAGTCGTTAGTATTGAGAATGTTGAAGAAGAAAGCAACACAATAAAATATCACAGAAAAAAAACACAACAAAAAGAAAGGAAACCAAGATAAATATATAGTTTCATTTTTTTCTAGATTGTTGTTGTTGTTGTTGCTGTTGCTGTTGAGTCAGTCGTCGATGTTCAGCTTGAGTCAATTCAATATCAAGCTTTGAAATAGTATTCATTAAACTATCTCGTTCACTACGTAGAACATTTATTTCTTTTTTATGTGCATTCAATTCTGAACGAAGTCGTTCATTTTCAAGTCGAATCATTTCTGCTTGTCGTAATTTTTCTTGCATATCATTATCATCATTGCTCGATTTAGATGAAATTGTATTCGTTGAGTCATCTACATTCAAAAGAAAATTGTAATATATATTTTTTAAAGTTTCTCTCGTAAAGTATCTATCTTCGTCCCGGAATAATCAATTTAGCTAAAAGTTTCAAAAAATATGAGTGCAGTCCTAGACAGCTTACAGTCAACATTTCAGCCCGAAATATTGAGCTCTTTGAGAGTTATCTCTATATCAAGGGTCTAAAAGTAGGTCTCTGTAAGTTTCAGATTTGTTCCCTATTTTCAACGATAGGGGTTTCGGATTTGCGTCAAGACGTAGCCAACACTTGTCACAACAACTTAAGAGAGTCTGATTTTTTTTAAACTCTTCTTTGTTAATTTTTCATGGCAGTGTTTCTTCAAAAGCTCGAAAAAATAGGGTAGTCTTATGAAAAAAGATCTATTTTTCTCAAAAACTAAGTCAAGAACAAAAAACTTGACTATGTTAAATTGTTGATCTCAATTTTCTTTTTAGTTTACGATCTTCTCGAGATTTCTAGTATGTAAAATGGCTGAGAAATGTAAGATAGACGAACAAAAAAAAATTGTTTTGAGAAAAATAGCAAACAAAATTGAACTTCAAAAATCCAGATCTTTTTCCTTGGTAGAATAATGCACAAAAGATTACCTCCAAAGCATGTGAGATATATTCTCCAAGTTAGAAGTCTACAGGCAGAGTCACAGGGCTTCAGAAAACTAAAATTTAACAAACATTTTCTGCTTTTGAATTTTTTGATAAAACCTTTTGGATATCACGAAAAAACTACCAGAAAACCTCTTGAAACCAACGTAGAAACTAAGAATAATAGTGATTTTGAAAGTAGAAAATGTGGGCTATTCGATCATGTAAAAAGCTCAAAAACTGAAATCTTTCACAGAGGGAAGGTCTAAAAAAAAATTCAAGATGTAATATGAACCTTCGTTCTTTGATGTTTGAATCATAATTTGTCCATCAATTTGTCTAATAACATGCAAACGTTTAATATTAACTTTCGTGGGTGGATTTATTTCTTCCGTTGTATTTGTCGTTGAATATTCATGAACAAGCTAAAATTAGAGAAAAAAATTATCAAAATAAAAATAAAAACAAATGAATTCATATACTTCAAATGATAATTGTACATTGTTGAGATCAACATCAATAGGAATAGATTTAGGTGAACGTTTTTTTCTCAGAGTTTTTTCTTCACTTGTACGAACTTCTTGAAGATTTTGTACAAGTACACCAAGAGCATTGGTAGCCATAGAAAATAGACGATTTTCTATTTTAATAGTGATAATTGGTAATGGATTTGATTTGCCTTTTGGAACATCAATACGAATATTAATTGGTCGCATATTTTCATTATTGAGTTCATCTATTAAAAAAGCATAATAATAATAAATTAGATTGATGAAAATTAATTTAAACATACCAAGAGATTCATTTTCAAATAATTTTGGTTTAATTGAATCGTATTTTAATGAATGAAATTCGTCAATACGTAAATTTTTTACACTACAAGCAATATAAATTGGTTTATCATTTTTTTCTTCATCTGTATCTATATAAATTTTTATTTCATTTAATTTAACAAATGCTCCATTAATCTATACGAAAATTAAAATATAAACTATATTGATTTTTTTTAAATGTTTTTAAAATAAACATACGGATTCTAATGCATTTGTTCCAATGACAATATTATTTTTTTCTGTTAAATTAATACTATCATCATCAAGTTCAATACGTGTTGGTTTTTCTTGTTGTTGTTCTTGTTGTTCATATTCATTATTTAATAAAGTTGGATCAAGATCAGCATCTAAATCTTCACTTAATTGATCCCATTGTGATGATGTTTCATCAACATTATCAGTCATGTTTACTAGTGATGTTTGTGAAGTACCACGTGAACCTTTTGATGTTACTTCTAATCCACGTTGAATATTTTCTTCTATTTTAGGTTTTTTTTGTCCTAATGAATTTAAACTTTTACTACTAGAACTCCTATTATTTTCAATAGTATTAAATGATGATGACGACGATAATTCAAATTTAACTGTACTAGCAACATTAGCTTTTGGTGTTGTTGTTACATCGCTAGCAATATTTGAATTAGACGTATCATGCATTCTAGGTTCTATTTCTGCTTCAGATAAACCAGCTGCAGGAGCTGGTGTTGAAAGATTCATCAGAGCATCTTCGAGACCGTCTATAACAGCAAGTGTAAATGTTGTTGGTGAAAATATACAAACATTTATTTTTATATTTTTAGAAGATTTGTTAGATAAAGATGAATCTTGTTGTAATTGTTGTTTGATTAAATGACTTTGAACTTTATTTTGTTCGAGTACATGAAGAAATAAACTAAATTCATCGAATAGATGCATCATAAATGTATATTGTTTTTGAGAAATTTTAAACATTGATGGTGCTTCAAGAAGGCTTAAAATATTTACCCAAGGTGATGGTATTGGAGATCCAACTAGATATGATAGAAGTTTAACATTTTTTTCAGATATATATGTTTAAGATATAGAATTGTTACCTTTTTGTTTTTCATCAACTGCAACCCAACCTGATATTGAAAAAGAATCAGTCATATTTTGTTTTGCTAATCGAACGAATTCTGATGGAGCTGCTGGTGTAAAATCCATATAAATACTATCAGCATTAAAATGCCAGATATCATATTTTGCAGCCTAATAAACAATATTTATTTTAAATGAAATTTTTATCAAAAAGACTTGGATCTATAATCATTTTCTATACTGCCGATGAGATCGATAGAAATTCATAGTTCAACTAGCCGCTAGAATCAAATTAACTAGCTGAAGATCAGCTACTTTATATAAGCACAGATAGTTGAAGTGTTCTTTTTTATATAGATAGGCGATATCAAAACTTCGCAGTTCAAGTAAATCACGTCGTGAAAACTGATCTATATCAAGTATAATCATTTAATTGCCTCAGAGATATCCATGGCGGCGACAGATTTTCAGCCATGATGGATATCTCTGAATTAAAGGTTTATTTCTTACCTTCTTCAATGAATCTGTCGTCATTGTATAATATGAATGTAGTGCTGCATTAGCCGATTGTGATTCAGGTAATATAGTACCGATTTTTTTAGTTAATGGATTATTATATAAATATGTTTCATATGGATGTTTATCAAATAATGGACTAATACGTGTTGTATTCGATGAATCATTTGATAATGGCCAATAATTTAATTGAAAAAAATTTGTTTTGTTAAATAATTCTAAATGTTGTTCAAGTTTATTTCGATTACTAGTTAAATCAGTACGAGAATTTGTAATTAATATTTTCGAAATATTTAATTCAAGTATATCAAGTTTTTGTTGATTTAATGTTTCTTTACGTTCTAATATATTTGCTGTAGGATTATTCTCATGTTTAGCTTTTTGTAATTGATAAGCATCAGAAAATATATCTGAACTAATAACAATCTAAATAAAAAAAAAAAAAAAAATTTAAAAAAACTTCAAGAAAATCAAAACAAATCTTTTATATACTCGTGGTAACATAGCATCAACTTTAATATCTACATGTTCAAGATCCATACTAGGTTTATCAGTTTTTAATACACCTGAATTATCCTAGAAAAAAAAAGAAAGAAATCAAATAAAAATAAGTAAATTTTTCTTCTAGCAATTTCTTTACTATAGTCAGTGATACTGATGAAATAAAAGCATGAAGCCAACTATATGTCGCAAAATCAATACGCATAACCATAGGCATTATTTGAATATATAAATCACTATTCGGTACTAAAGTTTAAAAACAATGTATGTCATTGAATAATTTTTATCATGATTTACCAGGAAATGCATATGGTGATGGATAATAATATTCAGTATGTTGAATATGAATAACACCTAAAAATTCTGGTAATAAATATTCTGTTCGATCTGATGTAATTAATGGTCGACCACGCTTTTGTTCTTGATGTTTAGTTGAATTATTATGTAATGAAACAGGATAAAGTACAAGATCATCTATATTCATAACAGTACATGATTCAAATAAGCGAATACGATTTGTACGAAGAGCATTTTCGAATTTAGCCGCTAATTAAACAAAGCAAAAAAAAATTTAATCATTTATTTTGTTTTTTATTATTGTACGAAAAACTAAACTTACATGTTTCATCATTACGTGCACTATTTTTAGCAGATGTTAATTGTTCATTCCATTCATCTCTTAATCGTGCTGCCCATTCATCTCGATTTAATGCTAACATTTCACTATATTTTATCCAATGTGTTTTTGATGATCCATATTGATGATAAGGATAATGATCGATAGATAAATTTGCTAATGTTATTTGAAGAGCACCACCTTCAGCTAGACGACTACCTAAAAAAACATAAATAAATACATTGAAAAAATTGTTATATTTAATAAATAAACAAAGAACTGAACAACAAAAACGAAACAATATGAGATATATCTTTTTTTTGCTTTAACTTACTCGTTGACTCAAAATAAAATTCTGAGAAAAAATTAAAAAGAAAATCATAGATTTTAGTTTTGAATAGAAATAAATTAGTATTTCAATTTTTAAAGGAAATTTTTACATACTAAACATTTTTGAATCAGCAGTAACATGTATATCCAATCGTTTAATATTAAAATGCAATGATGTTTCAACAACATCATAATGTTTAAAAGGATCATTCGATTGTTGTTGAATGTTTGATGTGCCTCCAGTAGAATTCATTAGATCATTGTTACCTGTTGTTGGTGGTTTTGGTTGAAATGTTGATGGTTGCTGTTGTTGTTCTAATTTCTAGATTATATAAATAATTATAGAAGATATTCGATTATTATGATCGTTATAAAATTTCGATTTTTCTGTAAACAGATAGCAGAAAATTTGATTCTACTAAGAAATAGAAATTATTTATTATTTTTTTCTTTTACACTTTCTATGCGTGATGCATGCTTGTAGGAAATTTGTTTATTACAATATGATTAACACATTGCCAAGATCTTTCATCGGTACCATTCAAATTGTAGAATTCATTTCAAACAGCATTATGTCTATACTAACTAGGATAATATAAAGAAAAAAAAAAACATCACAAAAATTAGCTAAATTAACGTTGGAAGCATTGCAACGATAGCAGAATTAAACTAAACAATCACCATCGGAATCTGTTAATCAATGTTAGCTGAGCAAAATCAAAGTCAATTGAAACTTATATGTACCAAAAATTATATAAATTGTTTCTTCATGTTTTTTTTCTTTTGAAAAGTTAGACAATTAGTTAATGAACAAGATTATTAAATGAGTCATCTAAATAAACGATTGAAAGAACACTTTGTTGTCATTGAAAAGTCTTTTGTCTTTTTTTTTTACGCATCATTATTCAATGGTATTATTCTTTACTATTCATTTAATTTTGAAGAATGGATGAAAGACATATTAGATTTGTTTTTCTTTTATATTTATTCAAAAATCTATACAATATAAACGAGTCTATGCAATCAATTATTTTCAGATCATTTCTTTGTCTTCTTTTTATTCGTGTATGTTAGACTTTAACTTGACCTAATCAAAATGACAATCTACATGTAGTTCACTTCCTGTTATTGCCTATTATTGACATTATAGCTATTTTTCGACCTTTACATCAAGTCGTTAATGTAGCTTCTAACGTTGTAATTGCTATTTTAGTTGAAACATGTCTATCGCTCTTGTAAACTAATGATTCGATTGAAGGAAAAAAAAAAACTTCTATTCTTTCATACGTAATTTAGACTGATGTGCTATTATCAGGGAAAATTTTGCATATGTCTTCCTATTTTCTGTTTATGACATTCTTGTTTTATTTAAAGGGAAATTGATAAGAAGTCAAGTGATGTTTTTCTATTAACTGTTGAAATAAGATAAGAATGAAAAAATTTTTCATTTAACTATACATACTGTTAATTTATCTCCAGCTATACGTTTTCGTTGTTCAGATGCACGTTTCATTAATTGTGTAATTTCTTTATAAGTATTCAAAGCTGATTTAAGTTGTGCATCATTAATAACTGATAAAAGATCATCAAAATGAACCATAACACGTGATGTTACCATACTACTATCTATTAAAAAAAGACTTCATTTTGTTCCTCTTTTTTTTCTTTTGAATTATAATGAGACAAATAAATAACCTTGAAGATTTTTTTTCATATAAATTCTTATTCGACATATATTAGCAATCAAGCGTATAGCTGTAGTTGCCATACTATTATCATTGGATGATGCTTCAATACGTGCATTTTGCCATGAAATTTCCTTACGTATAAACAAAACAAAATTAAAAACAAAAAGAGTTCAATATTTTATTACTTTAAAAAGAAGAATATGATCTTTAGTTGCATTGCGAAGACGAGTTAAATTTAGTGAATCAACTCGTTTTCCATAAGGTGATATACTATATATTTCAAGACTTGGTAACTAAAGAAAAATACATAAAGGTCTTTAATTAAATATAAATATGAACTTTTTTGTTTACAAAAATTGATGCTTTAAAAGCTTGAGCTTTTACAGCAAATGTTAAATTTGTAATTGTTAATGAAATACCATCAATGACACGATTTGTAAACCCATATTTACCCAATAATCTAGATTACGAAATTAAAATATTTTTTTTTTAAATGAAAAAGAAAAAGCTTTTTACGGATCATTTGCATTTAAAGAATCATTCGAATTATGTAAATCTCTTAGTTGTTCATATGTTTCAATTTCAATTGTTACATCATCTAATTGCTATAGAAATTACGATTAAGATTTAGTATTTTGTTTATTAATGTTTAGTTTTTCTTACTAATTGAATTGGTAATGTTTTTAAATTTGTCCAAGGAATCTAAAAATTAGATTTTGTTTTTCTTTTTTTTGTTTACTTATTGTATTTTGTTTTTTTTACTTTAATGAAAACTCGACCACATGTTGCTTTACGAATTTTAAGCCATGTTGGTAATTCAATAAGATCTTCTAATGCTTGTTCATCTAAATCAATAGATGATAATTCACCTTCACCTTTCAATGTACTTAAATTGATTTGATTTGATGATAGATTTTTAACAAATCTGTTGTTTATTTTAATAAAACAAAAAAACAGAAATAAAAAAGAAAAAATAAATAAATTTTCGTATTTCAAACTTTGATAAACGTTTTATAATTTGATTTTTAATTAACGATGCCATTTAAAACATGTCAACAAGTACACAGTTTTAGAAGAGTAAAATACAAAACTGAAAAAAGAAAATTTTTTTCGTATATTTCTCATTCCAAAAGGAAAAAGTTTCTATGATAATCAAATCAAGAGAATTATTTATAGATGTCAGTCAGATTCATAAAAATTTATTTAATTAAAACGATAATATAAATTATTGTATTATAGGTGTAAGAATTCCTTGTACTTCACCAGATATTGCTGTTGCATTTATTGTTAAATTCGTATGATTACTCATCCATTTATGTTCAATATATTCTTTCATATGAACTTGTTCACGTTCATTTGGTTTACCAAAACCTCGTTGAATTAGATCAATTAATTGCTCAAGTAAATGATTTGTTTGTGCAAAATTCGTTTCAACAATATAAGCAATACTTTTCTCTAATGAACAATATGGTTTTTCAAGTTCATAACTTGCACTATAAGCTAATTGAACATTTGTTGATATTGCTTGTTCAAGATTATACTTTGAACGATTACAAGCAGATAAAGACTTGCATCGAAGTTTTATCCATTCAGTTAATAAATTATGTGAAGTATTAAAAGTAGCATATTGTTGCATTGTATTGAATGAACAATTATAATTAATATCACGACCATTTTTATTCCAATCAATACGTATAGATTTTATATTTAATAATGATAAACTACAATTGATATATTTACATTGAATAGCTATATTACGTAAAAGGTATGGTTCAATAGGATGAGACTCAAGATGAAGTTGAAAATTATATTCATAATCACTTGTTGTTGTATTATAAATACATGCATTTGTTGGTTGATCATTCTGATTTATTTGAATTTCATTTGTATAAAAATATTGACATGGATAACGTCGATATTGAAATACATGATGATCATAATTAGATAATCGTACTGTTGTTATATAAGCAAGAGCACGATCATCAGACCATTCACTAGATTTTAATGGATCATATAATAGAGTATAACTCGCATATAGAGCACTACTAGCCAAATGCGATCCCAAATTGAAAATAATAAAAACACAGATTGTAAGATACATCGTTGTTAACAAAAAAAGAGTTTTTCAATGCTTTGTCTTCTACAATAGACAGAAATATGTAATATCTATATATCTATATATATCTGTATCACTAACTGATGACAGATATTAACGTCTAGCGATGATTTCTATTTCTTTCACTCTAATACTGGATGAATTATTATTCTTTCTACAATATTGATATCTGCCTTTGATCTAAGTCAAGAAAAAAAAAAAGACTCAAAGTACATTTCTATATATATATTCTTGGGTCGATTTTTCTGTAAAATTACGCGCATAACAAGAAACAAAAAAAAAATATATCTATGATCATAACAATTTTCCTTGTTTATCGTCTTTTTCGTACACAAGCAAGAAAAGAAAAACCCAAAAAAAAAATGAACTTTTTCTCTAGTCTAGTATAAAAAAAACAATTGATAAAAACAGTCTCATCAATCTTCACTACCATCCAACGAGCAGAAAAAAAAAGAGAATGAATTTCAACACAATACAAGTCAAACAAAATTATCTAGATACTCAACATTGAGTATTAAATGTACACGAAAGGGGATGAGGGAACACACAAAAAAAAAATCTTTTTTGATATCAATTCATCAATATGATGTAGAATAAAACACAAAAAAAAATTTGTTTCGTTTTTCAAGTTTGTGGCGGAGAGCCTGTATATCGAAGATCATAACGAATATTCATTGAACGATATTGTATAGGTTGAGAAGAAAACGATAGACAAGAACGAAATGTAGACACACGTGTTCGTCGTCCATCACTAATCTTCGTATTTGTACCTGTAAATCTTTCACATTGTTTTGTTTCATAACGATATTGTCGATATTCTTCTTCATAATCAATATCAATCATTGTACGATATTGATTTGGAATACAAAATTCCTAAGAAAATGAAACAAAAATTGTTTTTTCTTTTCCTTAAAAAAAATGAATTCTTACTGGTGAATATTCATAGAATGCTTTATAACCACCATCAAGTAAATAAATTTCTGGATAATGTAATTCTGGATAATTTTTTTCATGTATATTTCGATCTTCAGATCGAAAATATCGTAAACTAAATAAAACAAAATCCATTTTACATTTATTCCTTTGATAAATACAAGAACGTTCCCGAATCGGAGGGGCAACGGAGCATACTGAGCATCTAGATAAAGATGTCTAAATATGAAAATCCAGCTTTTTCAATATTTAAATACAGGCTATCTTATTGTATATGTGTTGTAATCCTCAAAGAATAAAAAAAAAAACTCCAAATTTTGTTGGAATGCTGTATTAGTAACCCTTGTTAGTGCAAAGATCTTTTCCAGAAAATGGTTTTTTTTTCTTATAATTTTCGCCGTGACATTGATTCATTCATTTCTACGCAAAACTATTTCTGAGCAAAAAAGTCATATGTCCACTTGGCATACAAACAATGCTCACTGTGCCTTGTCCAATTCTGATGACGTAGAAAGATCCGTGAATAAATAACTTACAGTGATGGTGCACGTTCTGATGAAAATTCACAATGAAATATAAATATATTTCGTTTTGTTGGATCTTTTAATTCAATTGGTTTACAAAAAAATTCATTATAAATTTTTTTACGTGTATAAAGATTTTTAGCTGAATGAATATGACCACCATCATATTCATATGGATATCGACAATCAATTATATGTAAATTTTCTATTTCAAATGCATAAACATTTTTTAAAACATTAATCATCTAAAAATTAAAAATGAAATTAATAATAAAATAAAGAAATTTTGAGATTTTTTTTTTTTTTCTTTTTAAACATACTGTTTCAGAATTAATACAAGCAAGATCAGGATGTTTACGACTTTTACATCGTGGTAAAAGATATGTACGTGAACGATCACCAATTAAATCATGATTAGAACCAAGTTCAACGGATGCTTTTATTTGTTCTTCATTTGGTTCAGTTAAACTACGAATTAACTAAATAAATAATTGTAAATAAATAAAATACAAATCTATTTTAAATATAAAAAACATACTCCAATTCCATGACGAGAACGTTTATTAATTGATGGACGAATTATAATTAAATCATTTTCTTTATTAGTTTCATCGATAGTTTTACAACGTTTTATTGATCGAATATTGTCACTGTTTTCATCATCATCATCATCATTATGAAGACGTTTCTATAAAAAAAAAGACAAACTCTATAAAACAATGAGTTTAGAATATATAATTTTTACATTATTATTTGAATTTTCTTCAGTAGTTATAACCGTTAAAACTGGCATATTTTTTTCATTATCAGATAAGCAAAGAGGCAATGGTCGTATTCGTCGTTGTCGATTTTGATTAGGTAAATTTTCATCATTATCTCGATTTGGTGTCACTGTTGAAAGAGTTTTATCAAATAATTTAATAAGTTGATCAGAATGAGAATCCTAGAAAAAAATTTTTTTCTTTATTTCAAATTTTATTATTATTTTTTTTTTTGCTATAAAACAAACCGATGATGATTGCGATCGTGTTTGCATTGGATGACAAGATAGTTTATTTCTATATTGAAAATAGAACAAAAATATTCTGATTAAATTATTCTTTTATCAATGAATAATTAAACCTACTGATTAGGAGTCAATTCATTTAGACGAATTTTCTTATTTTTATTTTCTTTGATTAATGTTTGACGTTTATTATTACGTAATGATGCTGGTCGTGGAAGTTTATTAAAACCATAATGTTCTAATTTTGAACGTGTTTGTCTTGTTATACGATTATCTGTTGTTTCAATTCGTATTGATAAGCTAAAGTTAAGAAAAAAAAAAAAAATTTCTTTTCTTTCTCTATGAACTTTCTTTAACAGTTTCGGTTTTTGTTGACACAAAAAACAAATAACAACTAAAAATCGGCTTAGCTCACCGCTGTTAAATACAATAAGATTATCATTTTGTTGTCTATCTGCTAATAGCAGGGTAGCATACATCCATTTAAAAAAAAGAGAAAGAAGTCTGATGAAAGTTGACACTAGTCGATAATTACATTAGGAGAAAATCGTTGGAGAAAAAATGTCAACGGCTGAAAGAACGTCTCCTACACTTGAGTGCCATCGAATTGGCAGTCATAAATCAACTAGAACGATTTTGTCATAAACCATAGGATGAATTGTTTAATATTCAATACAATCCACTTCATTGCTTAGACATCAAACGATAGGAGAAAAATATTTAAAAAAAAAACGAATGAAGGCAACACTCACTGTTCATCTTGATGTTGTTCTTGCCTTAGGATATGAACTAGAAATGAAATAAAATTTTGAAAAAAAAAAAAATGATTTATCTCTTTTTCTTTTTGTTTTTTGAATTTGTTACCTGAAGATATCGATTGTGGACTATTATCTGTTTCATCATCACTTGAAGAAAAGACAAGTTTACGACGAGGTGTTCGTCTAAAATTCATTTATCATGTTTAATGATGTAGAAAAACAGAAGTATTTCTAACGGTTTCATTCTATTCATCAATGTTTATTCAACTGATAAACAATATATCAATACTTTTTGATTCAAGCGCTTCACAATATTCAACGGTTTACATTTTATTTAAAATCAATAAAAATGAAATCAAATTTTCTTCGAATTCTTACCGTATTATAAAATTCCAACTTATAAATGATGTATTCATATTAAGTTTAACTTAAATATTCAATAATGTATTCATATATACATCGTGTTCATCAATGATGTATTATCCTTTGGATAAATGCAAAAAATATTTGTTCTCTTCTACTTTTGTCAAGCTTAATGAGTTTTGTTATGTTTTTTGAATGTATATACATTACAAAGAAGAAAAGAAAAAGAGAAATGGGTGGGAGAAGAAGAGGAGGTCGATGCAATGAAGGATAACATCCGTTTTTTTTTTCTTGTTTCCTTCCCTCTCGGGAAAGGACAGTTCGTTGGAAGAAAACAAAATAACGAACGTTAGATACGAACTTCAATGTTGTTTTCATTTGCACTTTTTCTGAGTGCTATTAACACAATCTAACACTTTTCAATACGTATATATATATATAGAATCAAAGAAAAATATATGACAAAATATATTTCTATTGGATATAAAAGAATTTAAAGATAAGCATTTACTGAAATATTTCTAATTATATATATCATGTCAACCTTGAATAATTTGTTTATAAAAAGAAAATTGATGTGTGAAAATTGATGAAATAAAAAAATTTTTTAAGTCATTATATTGTCACAGATGGAAAAAAAACGAAAAATTACCTGTCACTAAATATATTTCGTGAAGTTTGCATTTGAGATATGATGAGATTAATTAAAACGAATATTAAAGACAACTAATCATGAACATTTTTTGAATACTACTTTATTATTTATTACACTTGTTTCAATAGTGAGAGAAATCAAAATGTTTTAACAAGAAAAGTTTTTCTTATTGTATTCATATAGACATGTTCGACTGACTGATTTGTATATATGCAGCTGTTGTACGAATTAGATATTTTTTTTGTTTTTCTCTTTCTCTCTCGTGCAAAAGAAAGAAAATAGATAAGCATGTCTAATTTTCTTCGTTACTATTTGATCAGCTGATAAATTTAAAAGAAAACAAAAAAATTCATGTAACTATAATTCAATACTTTTGAAATTGTTAGATCTTATGACGTAGTAAAACTAAATTGAATAGACTGCTTTATTAAAAGAAGCCATTTGATAAACAATTTTGCTAATACAAACTGTCTTTAAAATTTAAGAAGAAACCTTTTCACATGATAACGCTAACGAATTAAACTAAATTTGACTTAGCGCGCTAAATGGTGAATGTGAAGATTCGAGTACGAGTACAATGGAAGTTCTATTTGACTACTAATCAAATACTCACTTCAAAAGTTTCAATATATAAACTTTTGAATCGGACAATCCTGACGCATTTGACAATCATAGAGACCTCGATATATCCGTGATGATCATCATCTGTCTCTATCTTTTTTTTTAACGATCAACACTGAAAGAGA